CTGCTGAAGCCGAAGGACCATAGGCATTGGTGCCAGCGCCATCCTGCAAATAACTGAGGTCCGTGCTGGAGCCAAGAGCAATAATCCGGAGAGGAGACAGAGTCAGGAGCTAGGAATGAGGATTTGGAGAGTGGCGTGGAGGGCCAGCCTCAAGGTCTAGCTGTGGGACAGCAGGGCAGTAGCTGTCATTGATGCCTTAAGGATCACTCTCATGGCCTAGGCGGAAGGGTTGGTTCTTCCATCCATCCTTGGTGGCCCTCAGCTGGGGAGGAAGCCTGATATACTCTTTTTGTGGAAATATTTTAGGGGAAATGAGAGCTCTATGTTTGCCTAGTTCCTGGAAGTTTCACGGTCATAGCCCGAGGAGGGAATGCTCTGGTCCCAGCTCAGGTGGGCTTCAGCCTTGGCTTCCAAAACGGACCGGTGCAGAAATCTCAGTCTTGAATGTATCTGGGGCTGGAACTATGGACACCTTTGAAGGGTAACAAAGGCAATCTGGCTTTCAGCTGGTGCCTGGGAACCACGTGCCTGGAGCTGAATTATGCCGGGTGACCTTAGCCAGGAAGAAGGCAGACAAACCCATCTCTGGTACAGCCAGCACATTGCCTTCGTATTTAGCTTCAGAATCAGGTTCTTCAGCCCTGCATGTGCCGGGTTCCCACCGAGCAATCCCGATCATTCACTGAGAAGCTCTACCCCAAACCGCTGCACCAGCTTACGTGTTTTGGTGGCATTGACCCAGTATGACCCAGGCCATACTTCTCTGCCTCGGCGTGAGTCTAAACTGGCAGAACAGGGGATTAAAAAGCAACAGTCACTGGGAAATGGCAATGATTTAACTGAACTATTCATTTGCCAGGTGTTGACGGGGACAGGGGACACTGCGAGCCACAGCCCACAGCGAGCTGTGGTCATCCCTCCTTCTCCAGCACATTACAGTGGGGCCATGACTCAACGCTGGTTGGGTCAGTGAGGTTGTGTAGACTCCAAGGCCCTGGTGTTAGGTCTGGGTGCCAGACACGGCCACGGAAAGCTGTAGCTGTGTTTGGTGCCTTGGAAAAGCGACTTATTTAATTTGTGAGCTTCGAGGGCATTATGTGCACTCTGGAGGGTAAATTAGAAGGGGCAAGCATTGGGGAAGAGAAAAATACGATCGCGCCGCACAGCAGGACTGCATTAACACAGCATCGTTTACTGCGAGACAGTAAAGATGCTAGGCCAGGGCTTCCATTCATGGCGTCATATTTTTTCCATAAACTCGGTCTTCTTAACCTCTTCTCGCTCGCAGAGCGGATATTCTTCTCTTCCAGCCGGCTGCGCACGCCTTCATTTTCATTCACGGGCGTCGCGGGGAGCGCAAGGGGGGAAATGCCTCCCTTGCACAAACACGGTTGAGGAGAATAACTCATCCAGGCGCCAGCCTGGCACACGAGCCCCAGTTCCACTGGGAGCAGGGAGGGATTTTTAAGACCATCCTGCTTGGTTGAAAAAAAAAAAAAAATAAAAATTTCAAGAATAAAACAGCAGAGAAGGTGTTACTCCGGGATTCCTGGCTGTACCCAGGCAGTCCCGGGAGCTGGCAGAAAGCTGCTCCGCAGCGCTGCGGTCTCAGGCACCAGCGCCCAGACCCATCATTCTCCTGGACCGTTTCCCTTGAGTCTCAGGGCTGGTGTAGACACTGGGGAATCGAAGCTTTTATTTTAAGCAGAGGGTACATCTAGCCTTCTGAAGGCTGGGGGAGAAACAAGACCAAAGAAACCTTGAAAAAGCCAGCGGTTGCCGGCGTGCGTTTCCCTGCCCGCATCTGCCAACAGGATGAAGCAGCTGTAAGAGCGGTGCGAACGACCAATTAATCTCAATTGCTGCAAACTCATAATCCTAATGAATGACCATTAAAAATAGAGGGGTGTTTTAAAGAGTTTTCATGCAAAGAGAAATTAGGAAATTGCACATATAAATGAGCTAGTGTAGAAAAGGGAAATACAAGTGGGGAAATACAGCGTGCGTTAATTTTTCCACCCGATCCCAAATGCAGAAATAACTTGATTATTCTAACATTCAGGCTGAAGGAATCAAAACCATACAGAATTTGGAGTGTCTGATTGCCATTCCCTGGCCGAGATTACCAATCTGCAGTAGTTTGCTTTTCTCCTTCTTCCCAAAACAGGGAACAGAAAGCTGGTTTTACGGCAGGGCACAGCAGAGAATTTAAGCTATTGAATTTTCTGCTGCAGGGACTTGCAGTCATCGTTTGATGTCAAACCTTATTTTCGGTGCTTAACCAGCCTGCATTCCCCGAATACCCAACCATTTCAATGTTTAATGGGCAGGTTCTGCCATTGCCCCTAAAAAAGAGGTGGCAACCAGGACTTCTCAGGAAGGAGACTTGCTCTGGACCATTAGATGATCAGACATGCATGGGCACT